AAGCTTCGTTTTGAATATCTAGGAATCCAACTCGTGGTGTCTCAATGGGTTCCGGCGTATCTAGGAGTTTAGGGAGTTGAAGGCTGAGGGTATGGGGGTTTGGGATTTAGCCTTGAGGGCTTAGGGTCTGAGGAATCCTGGTCCTTGGCACCAACATAAGAGGAAACTGCTACGACTATGATGTAAGCGTCATTTGCTTTGAGGCTTGCGGCCTTACCCCATGAATTTCTGCGACAACCTTCCACCCTACAGGTAGACGATTGCGCGGGAGTTAGAAATGACATACCGCAGCTACATCTGTGCCCAGATAGATGGATGGATGGATAGGTCGACAGACAGACACGGATAGATGGATAGATAGATAGATGGATCGAAAGAGAGATCAGACACGTACGTCGACATGCATGGATGTATTCGCACATCGCTTGCGGAGCTCAGCGGATGCACTGCCGAGCCGAGGGCCTCGAGAGCAAGAAGAGCAGAGATGGCGATGCACCCGCTTCCCGTCCTTTGCTCGGAGACTATGGGGGGTTCAGGGACGTGTTTAGGGCATCTATATCTTTGGGAAGGGCTGAAACGGTGTATTTAAGGGTCTTGAAGAGGTTCTTTAGAGTTTGGGTGTTCAGGGCTCAAGGCGGTGTCCTTGCTGCTGCTGCAAAATGTCGGAATGGCTGTCGACGGATTTGCATGGGGTCTCCTAGAACCACCCTCACCCTCGAGCCCTCGACTCCAAACTGCAAGAAAAGAACTCCGACGACCCCAAACCCTCGAGATCTCAGCTGCAGCTGAAGCTCCCGAGGTCCAGCAAACGCCGCGGACCCGAGCCTTTCAGAACCTTGAGCTCCTGCGACACCCGGGGCGAAAGAAGCAGAGCTTGGGCTTCGGGCTTAGGGTTTAGGGTTTAGGGTTTAGGGTTTAGGGTTTAGGGTTTAGGGTATGAGAGCCCCCAGCTTTCGCGCGACATCAACTGTCCCGAGTCCTGCGCCGCCCTCTGCGCCAACGCCTCCGTGCCCCGGCGGGGGACCATCACCGACTCGGACACGCGGAACCTGCCGACGGCTTAAGGCTTGGGGCTTGGGGCTTGGGGATGGGGGTCTGCTGGGGAAACCCTTGGAGCTCTTCCGGCTCAGGGTTTAGGGTTTAGGGTTTAGGATTGAGGGTTTAGGGTTTAGGGTTTAGGGTATAGGATTGAGGGTTTAGGGTTTAGGGCTCTTCCGACCACCTGAGCCAGGCACTCCCCTATACTCCTATACCCTATAAACCCTGAAACGAGAAACCTGCAACCCTTCAGGTACGCGAAGACTGGGTCCCTGCGAAGATTCCACAACGAATATGGCCTTGAAATCCTAGAACACGATAAAATTAATTACCTTACGGTGTAGAATCATATAATCGCCATGGTAATATACGGGCCAGGGTAAGATACGGGACCCTGATTTAGAGAACGACCCATATGGAGCTATAACTATAACATATTGAACGTTACATCCCGGAAGAAGAACCCAGAGCTCAAGGCAGCGAAGTAGCTGGTGGCTGCAGAAAAGTTCCGAGCCCTGGGCGTAGGCAATCCTGAGTTGGCTTTTTGGTCGGGCTTCAGAGACTAAGCGGCTTAGGGTTGTAGGGTTTAGGGCTTAAAGGGTGTAGGGTTTAGGGGTTTAGGGTTTAGGGCAAAGGGTTTTAGGGTTTGGGGTTAGAGGGCGTCAGGGGATTGGAGGGTGAACATGTTCTTGTGCAAGGTGTTTTGGTCTATGTATCTCGCAGGATGTGAACCAAGTGAAGGAACACCAGCAGCACTTGTGACACTTGCGGCCCAGAAGCTGAAGATCTGAAGCCCTAAATCTTAGGCACCCTAAACCCTGACCTTTAAAAGCCCTAAACCTTGGAGCCTCTGAAAACCCCCCACTTGCATCATCTTGCCAGCGTCTGGAGGGCAGATTCCGCGGCCTCACTTCGTACCACTCGCTCCTCCCACCAAGTGCTTTGTCAAGGCTTGCCAGAATCAGCCATTAGTTAGTCGCGCTCTCTCAATAAGGGTTATCAAGGGGACCTGCATTCCCTGGCCCTCTCCGGCAGGGGGTTGCTTCAGGACTCAGTCTTGGGCTTTGGGCTCGAGGATCAGGCTGCGCTACTGGCTGCTGGCCTCGAGGCAGCCAGAGCTCTCAACAAAGAACTCGCAACATGCTTGCACCAGAAAAGGCGGGATGATCCTCTGCAAACGGAGCCGCTAAACCTCTGCGGACCGCGATGAGGGTAGAAAGCAGCGCCCAGAGCCCAAGAAACCCGCAGATGACCTCCTCCCCTCGAAAAGAAGAGGGCCTTGGCATCGGTCGGAAGCCGCCGCGCCGCAGCTTCCTGGTGCCTCTGCCAGGCTTCAAGGGCATCCTGCCGAAGCCGAGGACTGCAAGCGCGGTAGAGGCGTTCCACTTGCGACGTCTGTTCTTACTCGCTTGTGATATTTTTTTCCGGGGGGCGTGTTTAGGATATATGATGAACCGGAATCGCCCAACGAGGGGGCATGTTGAAGATATATGAGGCACCGGCATCGCCAAATTGGGGGGCCGTCTTCGAGATGGATGAACAAGCAGCATCGCCAACTGAGGGGGCGTGTTTAAGACTCACGATAAACCGGAATCGCCAAACGAGGGGACGTTTTTTAGATGAACCCCCATCGTGATACAGGAACCGCTACAGTAAATGAGGGGCATGTTAATGAGGGGACATGTTTAAGAGATACGATAAGCCGGAATCGCCAAACGAGGGG